TTTATTAAAAATTCCAAGCGCCCAGCAAAATATCCGCAACGCGAGGACAATAATGTGAGCGAAAGCAGCGCATTTGCTGCTGATTTTCACAGCTTGAGATTTTCCATTCCATTTTTCCCATCATCGAGATGGCAGCCACCTCGCTGGGTTTTTTCAATTTCTTACAGGACGAGCAGCACTGCATTCCTTCACCTGGATGGCTGGCTGTCTTTGATGCGTTGTATGACAGGAGGAGCTGTATGTACCCTTCGCTTCGGTTTGGTTCGGTTCGCCGGGAGTTCCATATGAACTTCGCATCCGCATCCCATCGCATCCCGAATTGAACTTGTCACAAAAGAATTCATTTTGCCAAGCTTGGAATTTTCCGGCAGCATAAAGAGGGGTGGCGGAAAATGTGCGTTGAGAAGCTTTGTGAGCTTTGCTTGACTCCTGACCCTCGCCCGCGTCCCTATTGTTGCCCCTTTTGTGTGTCCCTTATCCAACGCTCCATCGGTTCTGGGTTCGTTAACTGGAATTCAATAAATATTACTAAAACACTCGCATACGCATTCGACGTTGCCGTTGCCGTCGCCTTTTGCCTTTGCCTTTGCCCTTTCTTAGCGTTTTTATTGAGAAAATGGGTTTGAGAGCGGGGAGCAGACATTTTCACATAATTTTTTCCCCTTTGTAATCCATTTTTAGAGCCACACAAACATTCCCCTCTCACCCACAAAAAGACATTTTGGCTTATTTTATGACGCGTTTTGTTACCAAAACGAAAATTTTTGGTAATACCAGGACATTTAATTGCCTAATTGTTTTGTTTTTGGCATTTTATTGCAGGCGGACAGGTTTTTTATGGAGAAGCGAACCAGGCACGCCATTCTTTTTATGACTTAATTACTTAAATGCGTTTTATTTTCCATGCGGCCATAATCATAAACAAATTATACAAGTGGAAATAATGATATCTTGGCTTGGTTTTATATGACAGCCTTGGGAAAAGATTTTTAAGATGGTTTTTAGTAAGTGCTTTAATCAGCTGAAGTTGCAAAACTAAATGTAATTTAGCATCTTAGAGATATATTTTAGAAAAGGAGAATTTATTTATTTGATATACAAAAAGTACAGGTTTATGGGTTAAAAATCAATTTTAAAAGCGCCTTAAAGTATGCAATAAAATCCTTTCTGCTTTGTTTTTCGTTTGTAGTTAAAGGCTCTTCTGTTATCCTTTAATTTAAAATCAGCTTATATAAATATGTAGACTATATTTGCTTCAGTTTTCTGGCTTCATTTCATCTTTTCATCAGCAAATAAAACTCTTTGCTTAGTGGTGGTCTCATTATAATTTAAATTAACTGAATTCGCTTTATTTGATTTACCTGGTTTAGTGTTTCGTTGCCTTTCCGGCCCATTGCGGCCATTCCGCTCCAATTGTGGGCGAGCCAAGGTCTCTTTTGAATTTATTAGCCATTGCTAGGGTTCGACCCTAAAACGTCCATCCTGTCTAACACCATCCCCAATCCTAACCCATCCTATCTGTCCAATCTGGCGTTGGCTTTGGTTTCCTTTCGGCCATCTCTCTTTTTATTTTCTGAAATTAATGCGGCAAACACTAATTAATTGCGCAGGTGTTGCAGCTGTTCTGCGGCTCTTGTTGTTGCTGTTGTTGCTGCTGCTGCTGTCGGTGTTGTTATTGCATGGGATAAGCCTAATTGAATTTCTGTAGCTTTTTGCTAGGCTTGCGGATTCTGGTGGGGAGCGGGCGGGCTCCTATCTCGCCACTGGACATAATTAATTACAAAGCTGCCATTATACAAGAACGGCTGCATTTATTATCTTTAAATTATTGATTTTTATCAGTCAGTATCATAACATGGCTTAACATAATAATTAGGACACGACCAGATTAAGTTATATTTATGTTAACTTGTTCCCTATTTAAATTTTGTATCTTGTGGCACATTTTCTATAATCAATTTTATGAAATTTATGTTTGCTGTGAAAATATTTTAGGTCGAGTGAGTAGTTTTATCTTTAAAATTTATTTTATTTATTTATAATAACTTTAAAATCAACAAATTGGTTTCATAATTAAAGGACAGTACAAGGTTTGGCAAGAACTCAAATAAAAAATCGTTTAAATAATGTAATATTTTTATTTTCTTAACCTGGAAGCCTCAATATAATTAGTAACAAACTGTAGAAAATAGTAATAAATATTGAAATGTATTTTAAAATATTTAAAACTCTACAAGTATTTTTCTTATAATTGTATAACATTTTTAAGGCCTTAGTATACAATTTAGACTATTTTTAACCTTATATAAAAGTCATATAATATTCATAAAACGTTCTTAAAAACCTTTTACCAAAATATACAATCTAATTAAGAATTTAATTGCCTTTCTGGGGCCTACTAAAAACCTTATCAATTGCCCAAGGAACCAGGGAATTTCCAAAAAACCATTCCACAGAGAATCCTTGCCCAGGTAATTCCCAAAAACGTTGACCGTAATCAAATTCACGCTTTGCACTTATTTAATTGTTTTTCTTTTTTAATTTCTCATAGCTAATAAATTGACTTTTATTACTGGTCATGAGAAGCTCGTAAAATTTGCATATGACTGTTGGAGTCAGACCTAAAGCCTTTGGCTTTAAGTCTAAGTAAGGGGGAAGGGGATCCTGGCTGGATATTATTATTATTATTATTATGTCAACGTAATGTTCTCGTCAAATAGTTTTTCGCGTGACATTTGCATTTCAGTTCAGTTTTGGCGGAGTCGAGACCTCGCGGGCCCTCGGGTCCGATGACATTTCATTAGCCGTTGGCAGTGGCTTTTCCTGGGGCACACATAATAACGTGTGCCATTGTTTTTCATTGTCGTTTTATGTGCTGTTTATATTTTTATGGCATGCCAAATAGTATTTAATATTTATATTATATATGAGCCACATGCGACAGTCCCTCCCTCCGTTCCGTTCCCTTCCTATCATGTCTGCGATAAAACAGTTTTATATTCGCTTCTTCTGTGGAAACTTTTTTTTGGGGAAACAAACAGCAATGCGAACTTTTGCACCAGGTAAATAAGCTGTCTCATCAGTGCTGACAACTCCTTTTCCTGTCAAAAGGATAATAGGAAAAAGACTAGGAACAAAGGAGAATTTTGTGAAAAAAAAGTGAAAGAAAGTTGTTCTTAAATAACCAATTATATAGAAAGTTTTTCTAAAATACAAATAAAATAAATATTATATAAATAACTTCTCCGATTCTCTCAAAATATTTCAGATGAAAAACAACTCCAACCTAAAAAAAAGGACAACTTGTCAGCACTTTCCGCCTCTACGACTCCTTGAACTGAAATCAAACTACTTGAGGAGTCACTCGGTTCTTCGTGTTTTCAGTTATTATTGTCTATAAATCGTTGGGAGGGACCCCTCCGGCTGAATGCCCCCGATGACATTATGAATTTATTACTATTTAAATATTTTATTTCTGCTGTGTGGCCCTGGCAGGCGACGATGGGCCGCAATAATCGTTCTGACATTTTGTTTTGCCTGGCGTGCGTAACTATTTACGAGTTTGCTCCGGTAAGTTTTACCTCCAAAGGCGCACGGCTATATAGTTTGAGTAGGTCATGAATTATCGATGCTGTCAGCAATAAATATTGATAAAATATGATGAACCAAAAGTTGTTGCACGTAGAGGCATATCCAAACTTTGGTAACTGCCTCTATTATCGTAATTTGAGGCGTTTTAGGCCCACTTAAACAGTTCTGATCTGTTCAACAAATTCATGAATTCATGTCACTTTAATTACCACACCAGAGACAGCGTCATTTTGCTGGGCCAAAAAAACCTAATCAGGCAAACCAGTTCAGATTCATCGAATGGACTTGAGATCTCTAGACTCATTTGAATTTTAGACTTTGATACCCGGCACTTGACTTCAAACTTTGGCCAAAATAAACCAAAAACAATGGGGAGAGATGACGAGGAGACAAAACTGGTTTGCTGAAGCCAGACGATCGTTACGAGAATGTAAATGCTGATTTATTAAAAATAAAGGCCTAGCAGGCGTCACTCTTGGCTAAATTAGTTTTTAATGCTTTTTAATAAAAGAGTACTTAAGATTTGTCTTAAGGTTTATAGTCTTATTAATTAAGTTGACAGAAAATTATTAAGCTTATCTGATAACCAAAAGATTTATATGTTTGTTTGGTTATTAAAAGGAGGGCAGTTTGATGTGACACAAAATACAAATAAATAATATTAACAGTTAAGGTTGATGCACCTCCTTCTTTATATATTGTTTAGTTTTAATGATTGCTAAATAATTCAAGTTATTTTTAAGTATAGAAACCTGTTGATCTTTGGTCAAGTATCTGAATGGTTTTTCCCAAGAGTGAGAGATCTCTCCATTACTTTTCTTTATCTTTTTTTAAACCCAAAAGTTGCTTAATCATGATAGATTTGCACTTTTTCTAACACCTTCGTAAAAACTTATCTGCCACAAAAAAATCGCATTTCAAGTTTAAGGTTTTGGGATCCATTGTAAACAAAAAAGTATCTGACGCTTCGCTGATCGCGGTGACCCTTGGGAAGTACGGCATATACTATATACATTTTTTTAATCGTTTGAAAAACTGACAATACAATTAGCACTTACATTATGGAAATCAAATTACTTCAGTCGCAGATAATGAGCTCTAGTGTGTGGCCAATTATCAGTACAATGGAAATCGTAATAAACTTGCTGCACTTACTGAGCCGCACTAATTGCCCTGTATATCGAGTGGACTTTAAGCCGAAATGGGTGACTCAGAGAGTCGCGGAGTTATCACTGAGATCGAACACAGAACAAAACGACGGGAGAGATCATTAAAGCGACGATTTAAATAAACTAACCGACATATATATATAATTGCATACACGGGGCGTGAGCAGCGGAGTAGAGCGAAAACAAAAAAAAAAGCAACAAAAAAATCAAAACACAACTCTAGCCAAGCTCGGCTTGAAATCATATAAAAGCCAGTTGCTGGCAGAGTCTAGTAAGCAGTTTTGCCATCAAAGGGTTAACAAAAACATCTCTCCGCCACCATGAAGTTCCTGGTTGTCCTGTCCGCCATCCTGGCCGTTTCCGTTGCTGTAAGTAGGGATTTTAAACCATTAAGCTCAAGGTTTTCAATGCATTTACATCTCATACAAACAGGACTTGCAATTGTCCGATGAGCAGAAGGCAGCAGCCCATGCCAATGGTGCCCTTTGTGCCCAGCAGGAGGGCATCACCAAGGACCAGGCCCTCGCCTTGAGAGCCGGCAACTTTGACAACGTCGACGAGAAGGTCAAGTGCTTCGCCAATTGTTTCCTGGAGAAGACTGGCTTCCTGGTCGATGGTCAGGTTCAGCCCGCCGTTGTTCTGGCCAAGCTGGGTCCCCTGGCCGGTGAGGACAATGTCAAGGCCGTTCAGGCCAAGTGCGATTCGCTCAAGGGAGCTGATAAGTGCGATACCGCCTTCCAGCTGTACCAGTGCTACTACAACAACCGCGCCCACATCTAAGCCGCCGCCGCCCAACCTCCAAATGTATTATGTGTGATAATCTCTATTTGTGAATTGTTACAAATTTTGTTAAACTAAAGTATAACCAATGAGAAACTTATGTAAATTGCAGTGTATTTGATTAGTTTTGATTTATTTTTGAGTAGTTTGGGGGAGTTATTGCGGCTTCCATAAGTTACCTACGCAAAATACCTTAAAGATTCATGAAGACTTTCTGAAATTGCGGCTTACCAAGAGTCTTGGATAATTTTTAGTCATAAGTAGCAGTTTTATGGAGCTCCAAAGCTAACTTTTTCCACTGTAGCTATTACCTGACGAACCTTCTTCGAAGCCACCCCCAAAAAAAAACATTAAACTTTTAAGGAAACTTTTCATTTAAATAACTTTCGCAACTTTGACATACCCCCACACAGTTTTGGATCTCTAAGGAAATTAAAGACGAAATTCTTATACATAATTACTTATGCATATTCGAGTCTTGTGTCAATGGAGAGGCTCCACTGTACGCGTCTGACCCATTTGCGTTGGGGCACACGCACCCATTTGCATAACAGTGGGCCATCATTAGAGCCCACTGTCAGACCGTCGTCAGGGGCTTAAGTCCTTGGTCGGAGGACCGATCCCAAAGGCATTGGCACGCTCATGTTTGGCATAAATATTGATGAGCGACGGCGGAACTTACGGATGCAGGATACTCTGAGAGGAGTATACATGCGTGGCGGTCGAACAAATGAATTGGACATAGGGTAAAAGGGGATGCGGCCGTGTTTTTAAAAGCCCAAATCCAATTAACAAATCATTAAACATTCATTGAGCACGTGTCGCAATTGCATTTACCAGTTTAACTTGGGTTGGGACGCTTTTTGGGGGGGACATAAGGGACAATTGCTTTGGCTTCGGCTTTGGCTTTGGGGAATTTGGAGCAGAAACAGGATAAACTGACGATTCTGCGCTGAGAGAAAAAGGAAGTAATAGAAAACACAGTAAATTATCAGTTGGTTTTCTAGAGATTTAATTGTAATTGAAGAACTTTTCAGTGGTTTCCAAAATATGTTTTATCTTTAAAATTTCCCCCACATAAGTAGGCAATAGTTTTTGCGTTTCAGTTTTCATATTTCCATGGTCAGCATGATGACTAATCCCTTCTTATATTTCTCATTTCTTTTTATAACTCCTAGACTATAATTCCTGAAACTTTTCCCAAGTGTTGATGGACTTGGCGTCTATAATTCATTTTGTCACTTCCTGCGAACGGTCTGGCTGTCATGTCAGTTCCATTTAGCATCCGTTTCAGTTGCAGTTGTCTGCACAAGGACAAGGACGGAAGGAAGGAAGGCAGGGAGCCTGGCCAACAACAGTCAGTGATGCGTTTACTAATGTCTATTAAAAAGGCAGCCCAATCATCGGATTCCACCCCCGCGAGCTAATGCATTTAAGTAGACAGCCGCCTTGGCGGCTTGTCAAAGGAAGCAGGACGCGTGATGTGGCCGGGACAGGAGGACATCGATGCCCGACCATCAGCCTTTGTCTTGGCCGTCTTGTTTGGCTTGTCTCCTTGCTGCTAAGTTGGCTTTCAATGTCGGCCAAGGAGCTGGGATGGGTTTGGGATCTGAGTTGGAGTTGAAGTCGAAGTCGAAGACGGAGTCGGGTTGGCCGGGGGGTTAGCCTGCGGTTCTCACATTAATGTAATTTCATTTTAGAAAAACTACACGATGCAGGGTGGTTCTGCCACTGCCAATGGCCCGATGTTGTCTTTCGCCTTTGTCTGTCCGTGTGGAGCTCCTTTGATCTTAAAGACCAATATGTGATGTGGCCGGGGAGGCTGCGGTCGTGTTCCCCGTTATCAGCACAAGACTGTTATTAAGTCCGTCAATTAGAGAAGGGCCAAGGCGAGCTCGAGCTAGCTGCGGTTGCAACTAATGTGATTAAATTGGTTGCTGCTATCAATTCCTATATAATCTAATTCAAGATTCAGAGCGTTTTTCCTCTAGTTTTTCTCAAAGCGCTCTGGATAAAAAAAAATACCTCTGATTAGACACGTAAACAAATTAGTTGAAAATTGCAGTGATTATTTTAATTGAATTTGGCAAACAATACATTTAAAAAAAAATACGTATGTAGTGTAATTGCCTCGAACAGTTTTTTAACAACAGTTTTATGGAACGGAACTTAAATGGTTTGTAGATTCATCTGCCAAATTGAGCTTGAAACATTTTTTTTTGCGAAACCATTTTCTTTTTGCGTAATTATAGAGGCCATTAATATGACAAATGAGGCTTTTGGCCAACGCTGATTTGAATTCACGCCCTCAAATGTTTTTGGCAATGCACTGAACCGTGGTACATTATTTATACATATATCTGGATCCCAAACCAGATCGCTTGATGGCTTTAAATCAAGTCAGGCGTGAAAGTCATTTTCCGATCGATTTGAACAACAATTAAACAGCAATTAAAAAGGAGATCGGATCCCTGAAATCGACCCTATAAAAGGGGTCTGTATAACCGTGACAGGCTTTATAGTTCTGAACTTTTTTAACACTCGAACAACTATTGATTGATAGTGAAAATCTCTCTTTAATGTCTCTTCAAACCAATTGGATATCCTTAGTGGGCCTGGCACTCAGTGCTCTGATGCCCTTAGCTTGGGTAATATATTCCTTTATATATTTTAAATAATTTTTAAAAATACCTACCTTTATAGAGCCGCTCGCTGACCGTCTCGCTGAACATGTCAATGACCCGCACCTTGATTCCGGATCCACTAAACATCACCGAGCCCAAGCTTAGTCAGGAGATGCTTAGATCCTGCATGCGTAAAACGGAGATTTCAATGTCTCAGCTAAAGCTCTTCCACATGAGCCTCATGAACAACGATTATAACAGCGAGAACGAAGTTGTTCCGGCTCCAGTTCAGTCCATAGGCGAGGTGAACAACCTGGGCGACTTGGACTATCCCGGCGGTGCCCAGCTGCCATTCCTCGATCTCAAGCATAATGAGCCGCTGCAGTGCTTCGTGAGCTGCCTGTACGAGACGCTAGATCTGGACCGCTACAATGTGTTGCTGGAGGAGGCCTTCAAGAACCAGGTCCAGACGATCATTCAGCACGAGAAGGCCGAGATCAAGGAGTGCAGCGACTTGCAGGGCAAGACTCGCTGCGAGGCGGCCTACAAGCTGCATCTGTGCTACAATCACCTCAAGACGATGGAGGCGGAGCAGCGGATCCGCGAGATTCTCGAACGGACGGAGGCGGAGAGCGAGGGCCTTGGTCCCGATGGCACAGATTTCATCGATGGTATTCAGCATTCTGACGAAGCGGTAACCACAACCAAGTCGGAGTAGGTTGCGAGTATGTGTCCCAGGGTTTTTTCTTCATTTTATTTGATGTCTTAATCTATACTTCAGCAATGTCTTTTCAAAAAGTTTTTAAACAAAATTAAATTGTATAAAATTAAAATCATGGAACAATGAAAAAAACTTTTTTTTGGTGATAGAACATGAAAAGCTTTTAAAGTTAAATTACCTAAATAATTATTATAAGAGAATGTTTGGTTAGAGAAATAATTTCCTGAATTTTAAAGCCCACTTTTGGGCACTCATGTTCACTGAGGGAAATTGGAAATATTTAAAGTATAATTTTTAGCTGGCTTTTTGACAAATTGTCATTTAGTATTAGTGTAAAAAACTAAGAGTTTGATTGACTTTTTTCACATCTCTGAGGTTTGGTCAATTCAAATCATAATCATATTATTCAAATCTTTAAAAAAAATAAGTAATTAATACTTTGAAAAGCTTTTTTTTTATAAATTTATATATATCCGGCGAAAGATAAGGTGTATCATTCTTCACATAAAATGATTCTAATATCATAAAAAGCTATCCAAAATTAACTAGAGTAAAAAATGGTTTTAAATTATAGCTCACTGACCCGAATGATCACCTAGGGGCGGGGATTTTTAAACGCCAGCTGGCCAAAAATATTAAAAACAGCCAATTGCTTCAACAAATTATTTTAGAAAATAATTTTAAAATTGTATAATGTAAGTAATTGAATTTTAATAACTTAATTGTTGGAAGTTAGACTGGAATTATAGAAATGTCAGGAGTATTTAAACAGCTTTAGCTCGCTCAGTGAGTCAGTGCATATACTTTTTGCAGCCATGAAAGTCATCGGTTTAATAGTCGTCGTCTTCGTGATTTTCGCCTTCAGCGAACTAGCAGCGGTAACTTTCGAGTAGATATCCTTAATGATTGATAAAAAAGGATCATTTTGATTTCCAAATAGGGTCAGACTGCTGCCGAATTGGCTGCTTACAAGCAGATGCAACAGGCTTGCATCAAGGAGCTGAACATTGCCGCCAACGATGCCAACCTGCTGACCACCGACAAGGAGGTGGCCAATCCCTCGGAGGCCGTAAAGTGCTACCACAGTTGTGTCTACAAGAAACTGGGACTCATTGGCGACGATAACAAGCCGAACAATGACAAGATCCTTAAGTTTGCCCAGATCCGATTCAGTAGTCTGACGGCGGATAAACTGAAGGCCCTGCTCACCAGCTGCGGAGCCACCAAAGCGGCCACCACATGCGATTTTGTCTTCAACTTCGAGAAGTGTGTGGTCAAGGGATTTAATGGTTAAACTATGTATTCTTCTACAATGTCCTTTAGAATCCCATTTCAAAGAATAAAGATATTTCTCTTGATAGGAAATGATGAACAAATTGAAATATATGATATATGATTTGGTATATTATCGTGGAGAAGGATACTTATGACGAGAGACTTAAGCTCATCTTTCCACTAACTTTATTTGTCTTATTTCAATAATCTTTAACTAGCAAGCCATGTTTTTTTACCTAATTTCCCTTTCAGCTATTTTTCCCAGACCTTTACGTCTCTCAGCATCATTCACATGTATTTTAATCTTTAACAAAATTATTGTATATTCCAATTTTAGCAGATGTTTTACATATTTCCCACTTTAAGAAACATATAATATCCCTAAAAGATATAAGTGAGTATGGTCCAAGAAGAACCTCTTTTTAAAATGTTTATAAATACAAATTATTTAGTTGAAACGGCAAAATGACTTCCATCGTTGAGATACCAAAAGCAAAGGTGGACGAGGCGGTGCCGCCATGGATGAAGATAGACTGGTCGGATGAGGTTCTTCACGACATCTACAGGGACTGGGGCACCTACTATTCACGTCGCCGCCGGGAGAACTTTGCCTTGCACTATCTCAACAAGGCCCTTGATCTGGAGCCACGCGATCACATGACCCTTTACAAGAGATGCCAGACCAAGCGCAAGGCTGCCCAGATGCTTGGAGCCTTGCAGGACAGTCGCGATGCTGCCAGTGAGTTTTTTAACAAAATTAATATTTAGGAAAGAAATGATACAATTAAGGCATGTTTGCAATGTTTATCCACAGTTTTTAGGAATTTTTGTTATTGAAATTTATGTTTTTCTTGCAGAACTGGCCCGCGAGGCTGATGGTGAGGAAAAGGCCTTTATTCAGCTGGACATCTGCGATGTCCTCTACGAATTAAACCAGTTTGAGAACAGCAAGGCGGCATTGCATAACAATATGCGCGTTTTTACCGGAAACAAGAGAAAGAGCTTTGAACAGCGTGTTGTAGTAGTAAGTGGCCTAATTTTAATCAAGTTTTAAATCTAGGAAAAGTTATAAAATCTCCAATCAATCCCAATTAGATTGACGGTGTAATCGAGGATGTGACTGGCGAGGCTATGACGGCTTTCTTCTCGAAAAACCATAAGACAGCCGAAGTTGTAAATAACTTGATGAAACAAAAGTTAAAGGTAGACACGAGACCGCTGTGGAAGGTCCTAAAGGAGCTGGGCCAATGCGATGTGCAGAGTATCCAGGATGTTGAGGAGGAGTTGCTGTCGCCCATGGAAATTGCACGCCGGAAGCGGGCCTTTAACATATTCCATCAATCGTATATCAATGACTCCTGGGTCGATGTACTCTTTATGAAGATGCTTTGCAAGAATCCTAACCTGTTGCTGCCCCAGTGCAAGGAGTCCTCGTACTTTCTGCACAATATCTCCCGAAAACAATACGAAATCGTGCGCAAGTTTATGGTGAGACTTGATCGCTGTGCTTGGTTTTTAAACTCCATTTAATTATTGTTTTTTACCAGAAAATGTTACAATCGCGTAGTCCTCTTTATTTAGTCAATTACTTAAAGTACCGCAATAAGGCAATGTCGGACAGGTACAGGGAGTCGTACCTGTATCGCGTACAATACCAGACGCATCGCACCATGAATACGGTCCTGAAACAGATTCGAATTCTGCGAAAGGCTCAAAAGGTTCAGGTGAGTGCAATGAAAGTTTTTTTTAAATTAAATACTAACCCTAAGCGCACAGCTATTGAGCAAGTACGTAGAGGAGGTAATGGGCGACTATGTGGTCTTGAAGACCTCCCGTGTTATGTGTTGGAAGTTCGAGTTCCTTAACGAGGTCTACAACACCTTGGCCTTGGCCCTGGCCGAGCAGCTACGAGTGCCAAAGAACTTCAATTCCAATTCCAGCTCGGCCATCCTTAGATTGCTGCGAATGCCAACCGATAAGGTCAAGGACTTTGTTTCGTTGGTCTTTGGGGATCGCTCGACTCATCCTGAGCCAGATGCCAATGATCCGGCTGCCAACAGGGCCAAGTAAGATCCATATTCTATTTATCTAGGCTGTTACTTCATAATCATCAAACGCAGAAAGCTCACGGCCAGGCTGGAAAGGCGAATGGTCTTTGCCAAGTACTCGATAGAGAAGTGTTACCTCTTGCACCAGCTGGCCCAAACGCACTTGGATCAGGGTCGCCATTCAGAATGTACTTATAATGCTCGCCGGGCTATTAGAGGTAAGCTGAGATAATTTGGCATATTCCAAGTATTACTTAAATGTTTTTTTTGTATACCCAGAAAGTCAAAACTGTCAGAGCAATCTGTGGAAGTTCCTGAGCATCGTGCAGATAGTCAAGGCCAATGCCGTTCTGCATAAGCTGGAGCAGACCAAGGAGGCCCTGGAGGATGCCCTGCCCATTGCTCGCCTTCTCGTAGACTCGAATCTGGAGTTCTTTATTGAAACCTGTATAATGTGCAACACTCAAGAAGCGATCACCAAGCGTGCCACCATTTCGGCATCTCGCCGCGAGAGCAGGGCTGAGTCTGCGGCCCCATCAATGCTCAGTGAGCAGGACTACAAATAATATTTTATCAGATTTTATTTGGTGACTATTCGATTTACTTTCGGAAATTATAAAACCGCTTTACTCTCTTTAGAAACTTTGGTTCTTTTTTCTAAAAAAAAACCACTACGCAAAAATAAAACTACAAGGCGACTTTCATCTGACAAAGGGTGTATTTAAATTATTTCATATTAATGGTTGTTAACTTTAAATTATTTTCCACTGGAATCAAATCACAATTTGCCAAAACTCCTTCCAACCAAACTCCTTAGGCCTTGACTTCCTTGACAGGCTTGAATTCCTCAAAGCACTCGTGCAGCTTCACGGCAGTGTCGCACTTGTTCTCACCCTTGATGGACTTGCACTTGGCCAGGGCGGCCTTGGTCTTCTCCTCGCCAATGAAGGCGCCCAGCTTCTCCAGGACAACAGCCTCCTGAATCTCACCGTCCTTCAGGGTGCCAACCTTCTCGAAGAAGCAGTTGGCAAAGCACTTGATGTTCTCGGTGGGATTCTTGAAGTCCTTCGCCTTGACCTTGGCCTTCTCCTCCTCGGTCAGCTTCAGCTCGGCGGCGCACTGTTCGCCGTGCTGCTTGGCCAGAGCCTTCTGATCCTCGTTCAGCTCGATGGGCTAAGGATCAAAAGATTAGTTAGTTAGTTTCTAGTCCTTTTCTGTTGACTTCCAACTAGAATCTAGACTGAAACTCACCGTGGCAATGGCCAGGGCCAGGAGCACAGCACTCAAAGCGATCACCAAGTAGGAGTTCATGTTGCTGCTGATGACTTGTTAGAACGATTGGGGAAGTTCTGATGCCGGTTTGGGCTGTGATCGCTGCTTTTATAGCTGATTCGTGAGCAATAAAAGCCGGTTTCTCTCTATTGCCTCGGGCAGTGATCCATCTTAGGCCAGCTGATAGGTTTTGGACTTTGTTTTGGTCTTCGTTTTGTTTTTCTCCCGTTTTCTTTATGCCTAGGCTTGGCTCTTTTTTTATTTGCCATCTTGGCAAGTATGTACTTTCGTCAATTTGTGGCCCGAGGGCACGCAGACAATCTGAAGTAATGGTCACCACGAAAGCATGGTTCATTAAACCGCCTTCTCCATCGGGAGAATCGAATCAATTATACAAATAGAACGCAGACGTGGAACAGACAGCGACGCCTCAAGTGGTCTCGAGATCATAGGTCGCTCAAGTTACCAATGGATTGGGATTTGTAGGAGGAAATGGAGATGGGAGATGGGGATGGAGATGGGAGGTGGGTTATAGCATTGGAGTTGGAGTTTGCGGCTGCTTGCTCACTCATTATCGCGGCACTCTATCAAAAAAACTTTCCACAGCGACCCATTCCAGGTGGTAAATCCAGAGACCAAATGACGACAACGCCCCCTAGCCTACAGTGGGCTAAGCGGGCAAAAAAAAATACTGCTAGTCATCGTTAAAAGTAGAAAATTGTCTTTTTAGTAGTAACAATAAGCAAGCGAAAGATGGTGCAAAAGGTGTTGATTTTCATGGAGATAATTGCTTGAAATTGTAATGATATTCTGATAATTATTATGGTGATGTAATGATTAGTTGTAATTCCTCTTATTATTTTTAATAATTTTCAAAGTATAGCTTATAATCTCTTTGGTTTTCTGTAGAGAACCAAGTTTCCTAAGAAACTCTACACTGAATTATGTTTCTGACAATCAAAATTTACAAGATTCTTATTATTTCAGAGCAATCTTCTAATTTTAGAAACACGCCAAGTCAGATTTATCTTTTTTATATTCAACCACTGTACCAGTGTTGAATCAGAATCCAGATATATATCTCTCGGTGCGTATTGAAAGTTGAGACGCGCCAAGGAGACAGGCGACGACGACGGCAAAGTTTTTTCATTTGAATCCTATTATTTCAGCGTAGTTGTAATCTTATTATCCACGAGATGACAGCAAAATGACATTTAGAAAATTTCACGCTGTGTGAAATGTACAAAAAAGAAAGCAGCGAGTGGCGAGAGGCGAGTTGGGATTGGGATTCGGATTGAGAATGCACAGGGAAGTCAGTGGAGCAGTGCGTGTGGGTGGTGATGGAATTGAGCCAGAGCCGGTCGGTGTTGGAGTCTTGGGTCTAAAGTCCGGAGTCGGATTCGTGGGCTGTGGATCCGGAGTTTCTGATTGAAACTGCGTATTGTGGCCACACTCCCCCCTTTAGCCCTTGGAAAAACCTTCGTCTACGTCTTTGAGTCGGCGGGCGTGTTTTTCACAAGTTTTCCACAGACTGCTGCTGCCTGTCGCTGCCTTCCTTTTAATTTCAATTCTGACATTTGTTTGTCTGCTGTCAAAATAAAGTAGCTTTGGTGCAAAAGAAATAAACCATAAGATTGCGATTGAGAATTTTCCAACCCACGTTTTCTCTCCATCTACACTTTTTCCCCTCCTCACCGCAGTCAACCACCGCCGACGCCGCCGAGTGGCTGAAACTTTTCGCTCTGACGCAATAATAATAATAAACTAAAGCTTGTTTGACTTCTCCGCAAATGCTTTGAAATCCTTGTGTGGTAATCTTAATTCAATTTGCTTGTGGTGGGGACAGTCAGTCGACTCGAATGATAAACTCTCTCCCCCCACACACATCTGTGGAATGATTTGGCTTAAAAGAAAAACAAGGGAGTTTCAATCTGCAAACTTTATCTTCGTTTTGTTGTGTCGGGGTAATTAATGAAATGGGATTTTTATGGAGATATATTTACAGGTGAAATTGTGATTTTTTAAAAATTTTAAATATATTCAAAGACTTTTTGGTTAATTTATTGTATTATTAGCTTTTTACTTTGACTTTTAGACAAGTTACAGGCATGTTTTTGTTTATAATTTTTATTATAAATTTAATCTCTTCAAATTCCCTTATTTTATTAAGAAAATCTCCCAAATTTGTATGTAAATTTTGGGGTTGTTTATTCCCAGAATGTATTTTCTGCCTGAGTTGCTAAAGCTTGTCATTCATAAATATAATTCTAGACAGAATTAATTTCTCAAAATGCATATTTTTTTTTTTTTTGCGCCAAAAAGTTTACAGAATTCATTAAACAAGACAAAATGTAATATTTGTGTTAGCTCATTTCTAATGAACAAGATCTGACATAGGGATGGCTTTCCCTATAGGGCACAAAGCAAAACCATGAAGGGCATAATCAGTCTAGCAAGGCCCCAAACCTGTCGCCCCCTTCAGCTAGAAATTAAGTACAATTTTCATTTTAAATTAAGCTGCCAAAGCATCCCCGCGGAGCAGATCCTGCTTTCGGCTTTCGACGTCATTAATCACCGCAGAAGCAACAACATGCTGGCCAAAGAGCATTTGTCAGAGCCTTTTGGGTAACTTTCTTTTTGGTGGGGGGGAAAAGCATTTTCTAATCGACCCCCTCCCGTCTAAGAGGAAAAAAACCGGAGCTGGAAAAAGTTGCGCCCAAGAATCAGCCCGTGTACACATGTCAGTGGAAGGGGAAGTACCCCCAACTATGCCAACTCCTCCTCCTTCTGGCTGACGGAGGCCCACCTGTCTGAGTTTTATTTCTGTTAGAAAAATGGTCGCTAAATTTGCGTGAAAAGGCAAATAATTTGAAATTCCCAGGGGTTCCAAATAAGTAAATTTAAATTGCATTTGTATGCGTTCAAAATTTGTGCCTTCCTTTATTTTCAGGGCGGATTTGGAGGTTTGTGGCACTTGGAGAAAAAAGATGTTTACATTAACAATAAGGAAATTTATTTAATTTTATTTAGAAAACATTTTCAAGCTTGAAATGAGAATAAAGAAAATCGAAAAACCTCTCTTGCTTGTCTTATTCATGGCTTACTCGCTCTTTTACGCCGCTTGCTCTCATCTCTACTCGTTGATCTGCTCTCGTTATCATCTCTACTTAATCGTCCCTTACTCGTTCGTTGTCACTTCCTTTAATCGCTCGTTTGCGGTTTAGGAACATTTTTAATGTAAAACAAATATGATATATAAAATATTTTAAATTTACTTTAAAACACCAAATTCTGCTAGTTTTCTCTGCGTGTAGCCTTCTGTATGTTTTTGGCCACAACAAGTTTTTGTTGCCGCCTTTGCCGTTATAAATTTGCGTGTCAAAAGCGACGAGGTGAAGGTTTTTCCGCTTTTTTTGTTTGTGTTGCTGTTCTTGTTGCTGATGTTTCGCATATGCGGAAGGAAACCCTCCCTCCTCCTGCCACGTTTTTGGCCGCGTGTCTATGTGTTTGGCCAAATGTTAATGTCCTTATCAGCGCTTCAGCATTTTTACATGTGTCCGCATTTGAAATATGCGGCAATGGCGAATGTTTTTCTGGCACTTTGCATGCACTTGCACCCATCCCGTGGCCAAAGGTTGGGGGATTTTCTTTTTGCCGCTCCTGTTGCCGCTTCCGCTGCAGTTGATGTCAAGTGTCAAGTGTCGGACAGTTGAAGTTATTTATTATAACGACAATTACACCAAAAGCTGGCCAACGTTGGCAAACGGGTTCTGCGGGTTTTGTATGGCCATAATTACATTTCCCACGATTCGGGCGAATGGAAATTAGAAAATGCCAAAAGGAGAGGAAACGGAAGTGAGCCAACTTTAGCGTTGCTACAATGTATGCTTTGTTATTGCCACGGCCACGCCCCCGCATACACACACGCCAGACGCAAGTCCTTTCATCGAAATCCCAGGGATCCATCGTCTCAATCGAAATCACCCTATCCCTCCCGGAATCGGTGGAAATTTGCTAATGTAATGATGCTTAAAAGTGTTTCAAAGTATTCCTTTGCCTTGTTTATTTTTATTTAAATGCCAGCATGTGTGTGAGTGTGTGTGGGGGCGTTTGATTGAATTGGAAATGCTTTGCCAAAAAATTTCCATTCGCCCTCGATGGCTGTCTGTTCTCTGTTCTCTCATTCCTTTCAGCTGTTTGATATTCAAGGGTTGAGTTTGAGGCACATTGCGAATAATTTGCTAAATGGCTTAAAGCATGTGAAATACACGATAGCCGCAGAACTGGACTTTGAGTTTGATTTTACCAGTATTTCAATGTGGCGATTGCATCTCACTTACAGTTGTTTTTGTGTTTCTTTTTTTCGGTTTTTATAGCCAGCAATAAAATTTAATTTACATTAACTACTCTGAAATAAGGGAATCCCATAGCAAAATGGCTCGATAAACAAAACAATCTGAACGTGTTTGGTCTCCATTAAAACGGTTTTTTGTATCTTATCTCTCAAGTTAAGGGGTTTAAGTTCAAGAATTGTTTGTTTTTTTTGAAAAATTTAAACAAGATAAATGTGTCAAGTTTCTAATAAGCTTTTTCTAATTAAAATAAAGTTTTTCAAGGGTAAACATTAATGAGAATAAATAATTATAGCTTAGAAATTGGTATACATATCACAAAATAAATTAAATAAAATGTAAAATAATTGTTTCTTGAACTAATTTACATATTTTACGATTTTTGAGTTATTTTCTTATGTAATTAAAATAAAATATGCTTTCTTTTGCAGATTTTCTTGTCTTAGAAAGGCTTCTTAATTTTTAAAATATTTCTAGTAACTAAAAAATTATAAAATAAATATTTCCTTTACCTATTCCTAATCCCTAATCACTCATATAATTAATTTCGTTACTCCAAATGATCTCTGTATAATACCGGCTACCTGTAGTGGCTTTTCCCAGCTTTAGGGGCCACTTCAACTATTCATTTTAAGCCCCTCAAGGATGTCGATACAACCACTCGAGCCTTCACAGAACTCATCACCCAAGGACCTTCCTCTTCCCCTTTGGCTAAGTTCAATGCCATAAGTCGCAGTAGCC